AAAAATCCCCAAATTCCCTGGTTTTACCAAGCAGTGCCCCCCAGCATGGGATACACCGACAATCCCACAATCCAGGTGGAGGTTTGGGATAAAACAGACCCTAAACCCCCATAAATCCACTTGTCCCCGAGTTTTACTTCCTCCAAGCGCTCCTGGGGCGGGGATTAAAACATCAAAGCTGCCCAAATTACCTCCAGAAGCTGCTCCGGGCCGGCTCCGACCTCCAGGAGGGGCTGGGGAGGGGATCTGGGGATTTGGGCTCGGATCCGGAGCGCTCCCAGCGCCCGCACTGCCGGGATTTGGGGCGCGGGGCAGCGGCGCCGTGGGGAGAAATCACGAGCCAGGAAATGAGGGAACGAGGAACCGAAAGTCCAAATTTCAATTTCAGTTCAGCTCTGAGGGGCCGGCAGGGTGAGAGGTTCCAGAAAACACCCAGGGAGGGAGGGAGGGAGGGTTTGTTGTTTCAGCACCCCAAAACTGCGGAGTGAGAGCGGGGTCACAGCTCGGGGTGGGTTTGGGGAGCTCCAGGTGGGAATGGGGAGAGCTGAGCCCCCAGTTCACCCCACCAGAGCCAGATCTGGGGAAAATATCCTGGTTATTCCCCTCCAGGTGGGAAAAGAGGATCCACATTAGGATCAGAGCACTGATCCATGTTAGGATCAGCAAGGGGAGCAGGAGACACGGATATTCTCAGTTCTTCCAGTTAAACCACAGACAGAAAAGGTTTATCCAGGTGCAATTCCCAATTGAGCATCCCCACAAGGACAGCAAGGAGATTTGTCCCACCCCAGGGTGGTGGTGGCACCACCTGGATTGAGAATCATGGATTACTTTGGGAAAGGATGGCAAGGACACCTCACATGAAGGAATTCCCTCCCCACATCCCCAAACCCCGCTGTGTCCCTGCAGCCAAGAACCAGACCTGACTCATTTTGGGTATTTTATCCAAAATTTATTAGCGGGAAGCGGAGGGGGCGACAGGGACAGGGCGGAATTCCCGTGTGTCTCCGTGGCATCCCGGCTGCCTCAGTGCTGCTTCCGCCGGAACGAGCAGCCTGGGGGAGCAAACACAGACCTGGCAATGCTGCATCCCTCTGGGAACGGGAATTCCACCTCTCCCAACCCGAATTCTGGGGAATTCTGCTGGTGAATGCTCCCAAAACAGCCAAAATTCCAAACCTCTCCTCGGCATTGCAACCCTCCACCAGAATTCCAAAACTCTGCTGAGGGGGGAATCAGTCCCGCTGAGATCCCAAATCCCCCCACCCCAAGCAGATACCATCCCATCCCATGGTCCCAAAACCCTCCACACGCTGCCCCCCACCCCAAACATCCCCAGATCCCCCCAAGCCCTCCTTGGGTGGCATCTCCCCATGGAGCAGCCCCAAATTCCTCCATCCCCTCCCACCTTCGGTATTCCCGATATTCCCAAAGCCCCCTCGGGATACCCACCCTCGGTGAGCCGGGCCTTGCCCCCCGTGGGCTGGCACAGCACCGTGGAGCAGCCCACGCAGAGCACCACGGTCTGGGCATGGCTGAACACGGTCGTGATCTTGTAACAGCCTGCGGGGACAGCGTGGGGACAGCGGAGTTACCGGGGGGGACAAGGGCATGGGGACCGGGACACGTGGAGGGACGCGGAGGGAAAACGGGACAGGGCAGGAAACGCGTGAAGGGACACGAAAGGGGGATACCGGGAGGGACACGGAGGGAGAGCCCGGTGGGAAACAGGGAAAGACACGAAAAGACGGCGGGACACAGGGAAATAAACACATGGAAGGGCGAAGAGAGAGCGGAGACAACAGCGAGACACAGGGAGACCCTCGATGCCCACCGGGGCACTTGACGTCCATGAAATACGAGTTGGGGCTCTGCACCAGCCGCTTCTTCTTATGCTTGCGCTTCTCCTCCTCGGGAGACGGATGCAACAGGTCCTTGGCGAGCTGTGGGCACACCGGGATCGGTCAGTCCTGGGCGCACCGCGATCG